TTTTCTTCTTGTTTCTCTCTGCTTGCGTGGGCAGGTGTTGCTTATGTAAGGAAAATGACCCTTGAAAGTGATTAAAGTTTTTTAAGTTGTCGCCTTACGTCGTATAATACCTTTTTGCTGCCGCAAATAGAGCTGGGAGATGGATGAGAAATGTAAACTACAAAAACGGTACTTGTATGTAATGTTATTAAATTGTTTCGCCTCCCACATCTTCTATTTTTTGTGTGGGGATTTGCTTTTTTCCTCCGATTCGTCGTTTTCAAGCGTGACTTGCGTTATTTTTTGTCGCTTCGTTCACTTATGAAGTTGTACTGTTAGCTATTTCGTATTTTCGCCAATTTTTATTTGATAAATGGTGCGCACCCACTTCCTTTTACAATGTTGATAGCATTTTTCTGTATACATATCTGCGGTTGCTTGTGTGCTGGTCAATATATTCACTCATTTTGTGTATTGCGGTTTTATTGTTGTTGTTGCCATTAATGACGTTGGTGCGCTAATGAACCGTCATTTATTGCTCGCTTATCGGCCGATGGCTGCTCAAGTGCAAGCACTTTAGTTTCTTTTATGCTGTGAGAGCGTCGTCTGAACACAATACCTTTGAAAAACGATAAGTCTAAAAAGTTCAATAAAAATTTCGATATGGATTTCACTAGAAGTTGATTCTTTCAAATGAGCTGGGCGAAGAAGGAGTTGGTTTGACCAATTTTAAATAATAAACATGTACCATAGCTTATAGAATAATTAAGTATAGAGTCATCGGCAAGTGCCTTCGATGAATTGTAGTGATAGACCGGTCTGAAAATGCTTTCTTGAAAGCTTTTCGCAACTCAACTTAATTTATGATTCCGCAAACCGTTTGAGAAGTACTGGTTTTCTTGTGTTCCGAGTCTAAAATCAAATTCTAAAAGTATGCAAAACATTTGGTTGAAGAAGATGAATCTTTGAGTGCAACTTTTTTGCCTTCGCTACTACCAAATAAGAGCCTTGAGTACTGCACTTGCCTGCTTGTCTTCTTCTAACATCCGCTCACTTAGGTATACATTAAACCATATATTCAATAGCAACAGCAATGAGCACATGTTGCCCTGTGATAGTTTCTAATTGCGGTAGTTCCATGGCAAGGAATGTCAGCCTCTCCGAGTGTGTTTGGGACATGTAGTAAAGCTCCTCACTACAAACCATCAGTCGTTCGAAGGCGGGGTAATATGATATAAACCGTAGGTCCCTCTATTTTGTTGGAAAAACATCAAATCGCAAAACCACTAAGTAGAGGAGGAGCTCTGCCGAAAATCGCTTCAGCGGTTACAACGCGCCAAATATATATATATATATATATATAGATTTTATTATACAATTGAAATAAAATTGACTTCAAATTGATCAAGGTATTTTTATATTTAAACAATCAGCAACTAAAAGCGGCAAAACCAAATCATTTGTCCATTTCACTTTGCGTTATTCGCACGCAATTAAGTTTTCACCTGACGTGAGGTATTGAATTTGTGAATATGTACACTCATATGTATGTACTTCTGTATTTCAAAGCCGAAACCAAAGCAAAGTTTCCGTGCGACATCTGAATTCCCACAACTCTAATTGTGTCAAATTAATTTTGCTTTTCGCAAAATTTCAAAGAAAATAATATGGAATGCAAGCAATTTCCACATATGACCACAAAGCATATATTTTTACTCAACATATGAAGAGTAATACACATTCACAGGCTCTTGTGCGACCCTACTTATGTATGTGTGTTAAGTACATATGTAAGATTATTTGCCTACAAATCAAGTCAAACTCCATTTCACTTTAAATTTCCCCTTGGCGCTGATGGCAAATTGCTTGTATCGTCGAGCGTCTTGGGAATATCTTGCTTTGCTTTTGACACACACACACACACACATCCATACACAATCACATTCTTATGAAAGTAGCTGCGTGCTGATGTGTGTGTGCTCTTACATATATAATTTAATATTTAATATTCTTGTTTGCTCTTGAGCAAATTTGCTGAAATATGTCACCTTAGCAGTGTCTGCGCTGCGTTAGAAACGTCGCTGTCAAAGGGCAGAGGTGGCAGCAAGAGTTTTCATGTGTCTGCGGTTACATTGTGAAAGATGGAGTTGTTGTTCTTTAATTAAAGAGCTTCCTTTATGAATTTCATAAATCCCAAAGTGAAAGAGAAACAGAGTCGAGCCACACAGTGGGTATAGGGAGTTTGACTTGCTCTGCAGCAATTTCATAACATATTCAGAATAGTCGAAATGAAAGTGTTCAATTGGCTCCATCACATTTCGCTTCCTTTGTGCTGTAAGTGAATCGAAGTGAATAGTTTCGTGAATGATAACATAATTTCAACCTTCCTAGACACTTCTTTATTGCCAAACCTTCTGCATCAAAAACGTCTATAGATCTGAAACTTTGAGCAGGCGCGCTTAGCAGAAAGTAGTTCACTTGTCAATCAATCACAGCATGAAGAAATGAGTGTGGAAGGCGATACCGTTTAGAATTCAGCTAAAAAACGCAGAGAATACTAAGAGAGAAGCTTGGACTCTACACTGGTCCAAGTGGCGATCCGACTTATAACCTAGCTTCTGTGAGTCACTGACGGTCGCCAATACCCCACTCCAGCCCAGCTCTCAAGCACTCAAAAGTTAAAGACTTTTCTCCCTGGTATACAACTGCATGGGTATTGCAGCTCCTTGCCTGCATATAGACTTCATGACCGTTGTAAATATTGTTGATTGCTGACATGACGTCAATATTGCCAATTTGTGCACTTTTATGTCGCGTGAAAAACTCAAGTGGCTGCCATATGCACGCATGCCGATGACGGAGTGTCGGATTGCTAAAGGAACAGCAAGGGAACTCATAAAAAAGAACATACATTTTTTAACGAACAACCAGGCAAATAAGGCACAAAACGCGTTGAAAAAATTGTGAAAATTTTAAAAAATCTGCAATGCCGCAGGACACTCGAGAGTGTTACAAAACCACTCAAAAATTCCAGGGAACCTTTGGGTGGAATGTCCATCAAATGAGAAAAGCATGTAAACAAACGTCGATGCAACGATGACGATTGGTTACGCATGTTGACTGGGTGTAAACAAGAATGTGTGACTATATAAATTTATTATGTATGTGTGCACTCGTTTGTAGCATCATGCCTACATAAAATAAATAAAATGACAGCCAACGAGTAATTTGTAATCTGTTTAGTCACAATTCGGTTGTATTCCGCGGGCGCTGGTGTTGTAGAGGGACGCCTTCGGTAATATCCAGCAGCAGCAACCGCAATCGTTCGCCGTGAAAAAAGAGCTTTCTTTTCTTATAACATTTTGCTGTTAAAGTTTTTCGTGCCTTCACATCTTCATTGCGCTGAGCAGCAAAATTTCCATTTGTCAACAAACATGCAAAAAGTCACGTTTGCGGGTGTGTTTACGACATAGCCAAAATTCAATTTAATAACTCCACTTACAGGAGCGATTACACACACGCTGCGGGCAGACATACTCAGGTTGACGCGCACCGTTAGGCGGACACACACACTCGAGGTGTAGATACACTGAACCACCCACATGTATTCTCCTCCACAGTTTTTTTTTTATCCTCGGGGAACTTCGTGGCATTCCCACGCCAATCCATTAGTAGTTGTTATTCGCTTCGCTTTATCCACAAATGATTTATACATTTTAGACTTGAATTAAGTGGATTTCAATCGAAGAGCGCACGCCCTGTGCTAGACTGCGCTGTTAGTAGATATAATTTTTAGCAAATCTCCTTCAGGCTATGCTTTACTTCGAAGTTTAAGGGCTCCACCAATGAAAGCCATATGCTGGTTGTAAGCTACCTCCTCGGAAAGCATCAGATGAGTTATTGGCATCCTTGATACCGCAGCTGATTCTTGATTGTTACTGGGCTTTAAACTTATGGTGATATATATTTACACACATATAATTGGCGCTTTATGACCGCTAAAGCTAATTTCGGCCAAGCTACCCAATATCTGGTGTGCGTCTCGATGATTGTCAAACGAATGAGAGGTCTACAGTTCAGGAGTCTCCGTACGGCTACCGCACTATAATGGAGATAATGGACATATACTCTCCCTAAATTGCATAATAGTGCTCTATGGTAATTTTTGTTAGGTCTGATCAGTGGTAAGCCTTCTCAGAGGGAAGCCATCATTTTCCTCTCCAAAATAATATGGTATTATTGGCACCACAGAGGCCTCAGACGGTAGGAGGAAGTGAAACGCTTTTGGCCTATTATACACAGGAAGTCCCTTGACTCAGTAACTGTTGCTATGCAGATGCAAGCTGGGTCGGTATTTCATTATAAATTTGTAGAGTCACAGATACTTTTACGCTTCAGTTTAGTTTGGCCACATTTTATTGACAACTGGCGAAACGTTTTAGTGACCCCATTGGAATTATGTGAAATGAGTTTTATTTTTCTCACTTCTCTTATTTGGCTTTATTGCATTTCTATTTGACTGTCCACTCACAGGTCTGCGCTTTCCCTTCGGCCTGTATGGTTTTCGTAGTTGAAGTCTCTGTTTGTTGTTTGTCTACCGAAAAGTTGAAGCTTTTCAAAATTTGTTTGTTAGTTGTTTGCTGATTTGAGTATGTATGTATCTATGAATCTGTGTGGGGCTGCGGTTTTCCGGTTGGTTATTTTGGCTTTGATTTCACCAAAGCGAATCGCATGTTGAAGCACATGAATTGCTGACTCTTCTTCCTCGCCCTACAGAAAAGAGTTCCGCTCCTTCCCTCTATTATGATTTCCAGTACTTATTTTGGTAGTGAGAGAAATTAATTATTTGCTGGAAAATGTGTGGTCTGTTGCCACATATCCTACAAATAAGCTTATCACGGACGGGTAAGGTTGAAGGAGCTTCAATGCGGCACAAGTGCCCAAAACTTCATCATAATCTGAACTACAGAACACAAAAGTCTTCTCGTTTAAACACTTTTCTCCCTTTCTTATCCTTCCAGTTGACATCACTGGTTCCATTTTCCGCGGTAATTCGGTAATTGAGAAAAGCAAAGCCAAAGCAATAACAGTCATAACAGTCTTATTATTAAGAGTCGAGTAGTAGCCACACAGTGACGTCTGGATTGTCGCGACACACCAAGCCACACGATGGTAGAGTCCTCGGCGATCGGCCGGCCACTGACTGGATGTGTAAATCCACAGCAGCAGCAACCGGCTACAGCTGCCATAACAGCGACCGCAGCACAACATTCGCCATCCGGCATGCGTTGTGGGACGTTGGAGACGCGCGTGCGGGGCGCCTGGTATCGGGTGTTGGTGACGCTGGAAACCGACTTTCTGGCCATTAGTTTGGACGAGTCCTGTGATGCGGCGGCAATCACTGCGGATCAATCGACCACACTGAACGGCACTTTGGGGTAAGTAGTGCGAGTAATGCTGAATATTTTATGTTTAAATTACACAAAAAAAAAAAAACAAAAAAGCTCAGAGCTCCGCGCTGCAAGCATGTTTGCCCATTTTGGAATGAAGTGAATTTTTAATAATGTTTTTTGTGGCTTTTTGTTATCGTTACGCCTTTGCAGCAGCAACCATAGCGGTCATAATGGCTCCATACCCTCATCGGCCTCCATGCAAGGCATCGGCGGTGTGGCCGGCACTGGTGCGGGCAGCGGCGGCGATACCGATTGCACGGATAACGGTGGTGGTAGCGGTAATGGCGGCGACCATCTGCTGAACAATAACACAATGGACAATGGGCTGGATATGTGCGATGTACCTGATCATGTGGCAAATCAAAAGAGACATGTAAGTAACTGGCAATCGCGGACTCCCATGTATGTGGTGTTTGTTTAACGGTAAATGTTTATATTTGTTGCTCGTTTCGTTGCTTGTTGGCTGATAAAGGTACGCATCATTAAATCGGACAACAACGGTCTCGGTATTTCCATTAAGGGCGGTCGCGAAAATCGCATGCCAATTCTCATATCGAAAATATTTCGCGGCATGGCGGCCGATCAGGCGAAGGGACTGTATGTGGGCGATGCCATATTATCCGTAAATGGCGAGGAGCTGCGCGAAGCTACTCATGATGAGGCGGTGCGTGCTTTGAAACGCGCGGGACGTGTTGTGGATTTGGAAGGTGAGTGTTTGAATACATTTTTTTCTCGATGAGGTTCTGGTATTAAGTTTTTGAATGAGCAATGAATGGCAGGGTAGGCTTGAGACTTTATGCTGTTTCAATAATCGGAATGAAAGCGATGCAGCGACTTTACTCATAAGAAAGCTCCGTAAGCGATACGTAATTGGTTTGGATCTCACTGCTAAAAAAAAGTGGATTGAACGAGGTGTGAGTTAACTGGTTTTATCTTTAAAGTTCCCTTTTTTTGTAGAAATGAATTTAGTCATGCAACGCTTTGTCTCTTCTAGATGTGGGCTGAGCAAGGTCGAGTATGCGCTCGAATTCCACGCAACGCACTCGTAATTTCAACTTGAATTTTCAATCACTGAACGTTATTTATGCATTCAGAGCAGGTTTATTGCGCCATTTCAAGCTGTGGCGGTTGCTTGATGCGAGTTTGCTCAACTCCCAACGCCCACATCCATCGCTCATCACTTTCCGTGTGCACATTAAAGTCGTTTTGTAACTGCCGCATGAATGGCAACAAATTGTGTGCTTTTTAGTACTTCACGGTACCATGTGAGCCATCATCATCGTCAGCGCCACCATCGACACCATTAGCAGTCAGCAATCACACGATGTCAATGAAGGTTGGCTGCATTGTGCTCCACATCCGCTCGCCGGCATTTTATTGCAATCGACGCTCGAGCCCGTCCAATTCATTCATTCAGTCTACGGGCTTGTCAACGGCGTTCGAGTGTTGACATTTACTGCCGTTACGCCATATTGCGCTGCCAACACTTACCCGTCTCATCTCTTTTGTAGCGCTCTGTTCAGGCTCTCTGTGGCTCAGTGACACTTGGCGTTGACTTCGCGGCGTTAAACATTTCCATAAATTGCACCAACTGCCGAGTTGCCGAGTTGCCGAGTTACCGATCTGCCGCGCTCCGGGTTAGGGAGGCAAGCATGTAACGCATATCCGCCATCGTGCCACACGTGCTCGCAACAGCATTTAGACGAATTGGTCGTTTAATTAAATTTTTGCTCTTTTGTATCATAGACCATACATATGTATGTACATCTGTCGCAGGAAAACGAGGTGGCCTTGGTGGGGTAGTATGAATGCAGAGCAATGTAGGCGCGATTTGGCATTACTGGTCTGGCGTTAGTTGTGGCAACAACGGCAATCCGCGCTTGACTGACAAAAGTTGCGTCTGTGGTGAAAACACTGGTTTTTAGCTGACAAACTGTCTAGAAGCTGCAGTCGCTTGTTGTCGTCAGAAGCAATCAAATACAAAATCAGCGTCTGACTTCAAGTGGGTTAAGGTGGGAGGAAGCTTTCACATAGATAGATACATTATATGCGTGTGGATGACGCGTTGCTGCAACAGATACGCAGCTGCCACTGCTGCTGCCTTCATTTCCGCAACTCGAACGTTCGAACTCGAATTCGCTCTCGAATTGCTCTCTGCCGTTGAGAGCAGTTCGTGTGCAATTATGGCGATATTTGATGGCTGTAACTTTTCAATGACAACCAAGCCGTCACATGTGGCGTACTTTGTTGAAACTCATTTGCATTCAGCGAACACACAGCATTTGCCAGATATATACGCTAGCATATAGATTTAGAGCAGTCACGAAGGTCGGTTGGTGCTTTATTGCAACCGGGCTTGCAGCCCGTGTGGGTGGTTAGGCATATATACGTTCGATATTCCGTAGTCGAAGCCATATTAAACTCTGCGTTTGGAATAGGGTTAATATAAAAGGCTCTAAAATTTTACTTCAAATGTCATGCATTCCAAGCTAAAGGCAGAGACGCAACTGGTACCTAATTCGTCGAAGCAATCCGTAATTCGTCCGAGGCAAATTCGGGGTAGACGACAATGGAAAACCATTTCCTTAAGCAGAGGTCACAGAAGGCATCACCAATCTCTTGCCGGCGGGTCCTTCGAGGCTGAGAGCGAAAATTCGCCACATCCCTAATCTGTTTGTGAAATTCGTATATATATGTACATATGTTCATAGGCACAGTACGGAAGCTTCGCTTGTATGTGCACTCGCATGTGCGACAGGATGTGGCTTAGCGCTGCGGCTTAGGCCGCGTTGCCGGTGTTATATGTTGGTGCGAGTGCTTAGTTCGTTTCCTGTCGTTCATTAAGCATTAAAGCTGCGTTGATAAACATACATATTCACACATTCATCCATTCATACATGCATACGAAATTCAACAACTTCAATGAATTCCTACTTTTGGGTTATTGTTAAAGTCGCGCGTGTGAGTGTGTGAAGCACTCGAAGGGTGAACTCGTGTGTAACTTGCTTAATTGAAAACCAGATTACTGACGAAGCGAAAATATTGTGGGCAGATAATCAGGAAATGAAAATGAAATTTACTTGTTGAAGTGCGGTGAGGTGGAGAAAGAGAGGGAGGGAGAGAGAGGATGAGATCTATACTAAAATATGTTTTTATTGAGTGGAACGAAAGAGATTTTCGAAGAATTAAAACTTAGTTTTAGAGATGGGAATAAGCTGAGTTAGGGAAACTGGAATAGGTTTTACGGTGGTCTTGATCCATACCTCTGCAGCATCTTTCAAGCGGAACTAAGCGCGATAACCGAAGTGGCTTAATTCTTGAGCAACTCAAATGCATTTTGACAACTTCAAGCCTCGGCAATGCAATCATACCTCCTCAAAGATGGCAATAAGGAGCAGAAGTTTTAAATAAACTCCCGATTATATGTGAATCGCCTGTGAATTGGGTTCCTACCCATAGCGATGTCCCAGGCCGGAAGGGCACATGACGTGGCTTGAGGTGAATTCAATTCAATTTAAATAATATTTTCCACATTCAGATCAGTATTGTCTAGTTTGGGGACTGATTTGAAAGCTCGCTAATTTAAACAATTTATGAATTGAAGTGGAAACGCATTAAGCGGCTGTTTATCATATTTTTAATTGATTTGGCATCTACTCGTACATTATTTTACTTCCGATGAGTACTGGTTTTTTATTTTCAAATTCTCGTCCCTTCCACGTCACTGAGTAAATGAAATGAGATGCAAATATTTGATAGGTAAAAAGGGAAAATAGTCATGGACGCGAATCTGTGCAACAAAAAGTGTGAAATAAAGAAATACTTGAACAGACTTCGACGAATGCCGGCGGATTAAAAAAAAAATAAATAAATGCACAAAAAACCAAAAAACGGCAACGAATTATTCATTTCTTCTTCTTGACAATTGCTTGCTCAGACCAAAGTCGTACCTCTGGAAAGAGTAACTCTGCAGTGGTATAGAATCTGCTTTTGATAGACGAGGTTTTCTACGACTTCATGGTGACGACTGTCAACAGTGACGTGGGTGCCGAGTTGCGAATGCAAACTAAGGGCTAATCTTTAGTAAATAATTAATGAATTTTGCTGACCAAAACCAAAATTATTTACAATTTCATTGCAGTTTCAATTTCAAATAATTAAGAGTATCTGTTAGATATTGTGCAGATTTTCGTCTCTGATTTGTTACAGAAGATTCTTTTGTTTATGAATATTTTAGTCGAAATTTTCTATGAAAAGCCGTGATTGCTAAAAAATCTCTCCGATTAATTAACACAAATTCTAATATTCTCCCAACGCACAACGAACTGAGAAGCGCAAGGCATTTTGTTGCTTTACTCTAAGTTACGGTATAAATACCCGCTAAAGGTTGAAACTTTTCCCATTACTCACTGTCAGGCAGTCCATCAGTCAGTTTGTCCGTCTGCCCACCCATCCGCCACTCAGCCGGTTAAATATCAACTGATTCGGTGGCCGACAAGTTTAGCTCTCTTTTTTTTTTATTAACGGTAAACTTTCTTGAACCAGTTAAACGCATTAGTGCGAGGAGTTTGGTTTAGAAGCAGATTGTTTTTGTGTGAGTGTAGGAGGCAATAAGAAGTCATTTTGTTTTACCTGGATATCCTTATGCTTACAATAAATAATCCTTTGCCTCGAGCAACGACCACAATGAGCTCAATGAACGAAGCCGCAATAGATCCCAGCAGGTGGTGAGCAGTAAAACAAATTTTGTGTGGGTTTGTGTGCGTCGTTTGCTATTTTTTACTGCCACTTGATTACAATTTCATATGCCCCATTCCAGTAGATGATGTTGTTGTTTTTTTTAGCAGCTTCTGTGGTTAGATGATGTTTTTCTTCTCTGTTTACGTTTATTTTGCGCCACATTTTTTCTCCGCAATTTTTTCTACACAAATTTTTTCTGGTTGTCTATTTGCACTCAGGTCGCAGGCCTGAGGTTTGCTGCAGCCTTGACTGTCGCCGCTTAGCCACACTCCGGTTGTGGACACACTACGCTTGCTTCGTCCAAAACTGTTAGTTGGAAACTAATGTCATCGCTAGAGCTCGTAGCAGTTCGCATTTCCAAAAAAGGAAAAATTGAAAAAAAAAAATAAATAAAAAGAGAATACATGTTACATTTGTCTCTCTTATACCTCCTAAGTCCTTCATCCACCTCAAGTATTATTGTTGTTATTTAGCCCGTTTTAACTGACGTCAGTCCATGCGCTTATGTCCTTCGACTATGTGACCGGCCACTGACAATTCGTTATTAGTCTGACTGTGGTTTTATGTTGATGAATTTGTTGCCATTACCCGGCCCGGCTGCGGATGGTGGCTGCTCAGTCGCCCATCAAGTCCATCAACGACCGTCCTGAGAGAAGTCACCATCGGCGCCACAGACAGGAGACACTCAATGTTGTTGATGTACCTGTGACCAGTCATTTTATCTGTTTACTTTGTTTTATCCATTTATTCTTTCTCGTTTTTTTGCACGTTTCACTGTCTACTATCTTTTATAACGGTGCTTGGCGAGGCAGACAAACATAAGGAATGCTGAGTTCAACTTTTTGATTGCTTAGAGTGCTTGTGAATATATGAAGGATTCATAAGGGGAAGGCAGGATAAGGAAGTTGCTTGGGGAAGATTTGGATGGCTGACGCTCTGGACTGACTGAAACTATCATCATTGTTGA